CGATGGCCTCCAACCTACTAGCGGTGGCCTCCAACCTAGCGATGGCCTCCAACCTAAAAGTGGTGTCCTCCAATCTACTAGCGATGGCCTCCAACCTGCTAGCGATGGCCTCCAACCTACTAGCGATGGCCTCCAACCTACTAGCGGTGGCCTCCACCCGGGATGGCCTCCAACCTAATAATAGCGATGGCCTCCACCCTAATAGCGTTGGCCTGGAACCTAATTGCTGGGTGAAGAATCCCTTCAAATGTGGGTTCCGTCGCTTTTCCGGCATGCATGACCTGTGTTACATTGTGAGAGATGGGTCATTCTTCAATCATGCAGTGCTGAAGATCCAACTTGGAAGATAATATTCTTGGAAGGGGCTTGGTAATTCGAAGTGGTGCAGCAAAACTGATGGATGTTGGGCGTGTCCCATTCGATTGACAGTTGATAAAGGTTTACATTTGGCACCTTGCAAGTCTCACCTGGAGCTGGAACGTGCCCGACTGCTGTGTTCCACTCCCACATATCGTAGGGAAGGGGCGTCAGTTTCTGCAGCAACAAGCGGCCCTTCCCCACAATTACCCTCTGGATTCGGGGGAATGGAAGGTGTCATTTCAGGGAGGTGGTGATACCATATGGAAACTGGAGCAGGCAAAAGGGATTCCTCGGAACAACTGAGTACTGGAAGAAACCAGAAACTTTGCACGATGTTTGCGGGATTGGGATTCCTGAGGTGGCACGCGAAAGAGAGAGAGAGAGAGACGGAGAGAGTACCTTTTGCCAGTTGGAAAGAAGCGCTGGGGGGAGTCTCCTTGACCAGCTCGTTGCGAGAATATCGGAATGTGGGTGGGGTTCTCCGATGAAATCTATAGATTTGTTGAGGTCAAAAGGTTGGGTTTCAGGTTTGGGTTTCATGCTACTTTTGTTGACGTTCCAGCAGCAAGGTTAGAAGGTCAAGCCTGAAGACTAGCCTGGAAGATGGATCCAAACTGACTTCTCCAAAGTCAGGCTCCTAAATGTTTGTGAGAACTGCGGAAGGTTCAACTATGTCACCCTGAGAGTTTTGGACACAGCCAGCGACTTCCCTGCCTCGACTGGACCCTTCGTTTTGGCTCGAGGACACTGTCCGCAAGGCATGCTTTATGTGACAACCTCCACTTGGACGAACACAGCGTGTTCGGGTCCCAAAACGAACGACGCGCCCTTGTTCCGAACGTTGTGAGAGGCAGCGATGCTCTTGTCTTTAGTAGCTTCTTGCTACTAGTAGTTTGAGAAACCAGATCACAAGCAGAAAAAAGTCAGAAGACATGCTTCTAGGCGAAGAAGTGATTGCAAAAGTTTTATTTGATTCAAAAAAAGAACCGTTTGCCTTTTACGTAACAAAATAAAAAAAACATTTCAGTAGTTCACCTAGCTTGAACTTTTCCGCATGGTTGGCACATGAGATGCGCCCGTGGTCCACCAACTTCGACACTTCCGCTGGTGTTCCTGCTCTTGGGCTTCCCTTGGCATCTCGGAGGGAAGACGAGGAAATCTGGAACTGCGTGATGCTAAAAGACCTGTCGATCCAGAGAAAAAGGACAAAACAGTGCCTGGAACCGGATCTTTAAAGATCAAGTCCCATTCGTGACACGGAGGTTGGGAAGAAAGGAAGACCGAACTCGGACGTTCACAAAGTTCTGAGTGTTCTTGTCCTGATCTGGAATTCTTCACCTGATTAATAGCGATGGCCTCCAACCTACTAGCTGTTCTTTTCCATTTGGAAACCACTCAGATCTGAGCCCCCAAAAAAGACGAGTTCTTTTGAGAAGCTAGTAGTAACAAGTGCCACGCTACTAGTAACAAGTGCCTTACTCGTGGCCTTACTAGTAGTAACAAGAAGCTATTAGAAACAAGTGCATCGCTACTAGTAACAAGTGCCTTACTAGTAGTAACAAGAAGCTACTAGGGGCTCCTCCTCGAGACGGACGTTTGCCGAGGCGCACCGGTCACTGGGTGCCAATGGCATCGCCGGTGCGGCGCTGGAGACGTGTGCCAGGTGAGGCCCTGATGTTTGAAAGCGGAATAGAAGGGGAAAGAGAACTCTAGTTACTAGTAGCGAAATGGAAGGAATAGTCAACATGAAAAAGAAAGAAAAGTGGTGATGAAGGGATCTGGATTCCTGTTGGATATCCAGGAAGTGTCCATAGCAGGTCCATAGAAGTCCAGGGGTTCAGAGACTCCAGTGTCCGCTGTTCCTCTAGCTAGTAGCGTCCTTGTTCCTAGTAAGGCCAGGAGCCCCGTTCGTAGCGTCCGATCGCTCCTAGTAGCGATGCCGATGCCCTTTCCTCCTAGTAGCTTCATGTTCCTACTAAGAAGTGTTTGCCAAAGAGCTTGGGGGAAGGCCTTCTTGCAAACTTCTTGTGTTCCTCTGAAACTCGGAAACCCCTTTTGCAACACAGTTTGGCCGGAACAAGGACGCTACTCTGGCCTTAGAAACGAACGGAGCGAGAAAGGACGCGAACCGAACGGAACCAAATTGGCATCGCTACGAAGAGGACCGACTCCCAAGACTCCAACACGAAACGAGAGATCGGGGGTGTAGACCACGAAACGTGTAGCTCGGCAGCTAGTAGCTTACTTAAGCTAGTATGGGCGCAGGATAGCGAAGCGTTTCTTCAAGCTCCCAAGGCGGTGGGGGAAGCTTCCTTGAAGAGGCGCTGGCACTAATGATTTGGTTCCTAGATTTTGAGGGTTCCTAGATTTTTTGCGAAGCTTAACTAATAGTAGTTTAGCTTCAGGAGCAAGGACGCTACTAGTAGCTCCTGGAACAAGGGCATCGATACTAGTAACAAGGGCATTACTATAGTAGCAAATAGCTACTTTGAAGTGGCATCCCCAATTTCTCGGTTTACAATTCAGCACCAAAAGAGGTGGAAACCGGTTTTTTCCAGTTGCTCTGAGCAACAGAGGCCCCCAAATTGAGAACCCAAGTGCTTCCTTTTCATTGTCCCAGTGGCCCTTCGTTTTGACCTACGACCATAAAGGGTTTCTAAGATCGTTCGACTTTATGCCCCTCCACGGGCAAAATGGACAACGTCACCACTACGTTGTCGATCTCTTGCAGAGTTTGTTTTTGTTTTTCCGGATAAAAAGCGACTTAAAAATTAAAACAATCCGGTCTTCCGTCTGGAGGCCATCGCTAGTAGGTTGGAGGCCATCGCTAGTAGGGGTCTTCCGTCTTGTGCATTTCTTGGTGGACTGGACATGCCACTTGTCGCCCCGATCTCAGCTGCCGCCGGGGATTCAGCGGACACGGCATCCGCCACTGCGCCGGTGGTGGTTTGGCTGCGGAACGAACTGCGGCTTTGCGACAACCCATTGCTGCAACGGGGGCTCCAGCTGGCTAAAGGCAACCTGCAGCTAGTGGTGTGCCCCTCGGACACAGATGCCCAGCGTTTTTCGATTGACCTCTAATTACAAAGGGTGTGTGAAAAAACATCGGTTAGGAAGTTGGGAACCCAAGAAAAGATTGCAAAGTTCATGCTTTACAGGTGGTTTCATCTAAACACTGCGTTTTGTGCCAAGCCGACCTGCAAATAGATAGAGAGTTGATTGCCTCTAAAGAAAAGTCCAATCCAATCTATTTTGCCGGGGCACTCCTTCTACACAATTCTTGGATACTTCTGCCTATAGTGTTCCCATTGCGACACATCCTAGCAGCCCTGGAGCAAACCCTACTTGCACGAATGCCACCACGACAGCACGAGATTCCCTTTTTTCGTCCGAAACATAGTAATTTGCTGGATGAACCATAGGCCGTACCCAGTTGTTTCTTTGTCGGTTCTCAGGGAGCCATTGAATTGCCGTTTTCCATCTCAGTGAGAGAAAATGAAAGTACTACTGTAGGAGCAAGAGGCTACTAGGAGCAAAGGGCATCGCTACGAACGGAGCGATCGGACGCTACGAACGGGGCTCCTGGTAGGAACAAGGACGCTACTAGTAACAAGTGCATCGCTTCTAGTAACAAGTGCCTTACTAGTAGTAACAAGAAGCTACTAGGGGCTCCTGGCCTTACTAGGAACAAGGACGCTAGTTTTGGGCCCCTTCTCCCCACTTAATGTGGCAAGCGGCCGTTTTCTCGGCGGGTCGACTCTTGACGCCCCATGTTCCACTCGACCAAGGCTTAGATCCCCGTGAGTTTCAGGCGACCACCGCCTTTGGAAGCCCCAAGGCCGTTGCCGGTTGAAAGATGTACAAAGGTCAAAAGAAACTAAAAGACGAATGGCCCGGGAGCGGGGAAAGACAAGCGCAGCATCATAGGAAGGTATGTCAAGAACAGCTCTTTGAGACTGTGGAGAGGTGAATGGCAGAGGTGTACCTGGCACTCAGAGCATTGGATCGACCAAAAAAGAAAACAAAGCACTTCTTAATTAGATGTAAACATGTTATTAACCAACATACCAACAAGAGCATATGTTCAAAGATTACTACTAGTAGCTAGAAGCTTCTAGCCATCGCTAGTATAGCAACAAGAGTATATGTTTGAAGATGGTTTCTTCTCTTTGCCTTTTCGAGGAACGAGATTTCCAAAAACCGCTCCGTTCTCCACAGGTCGGAGAGCTGCGAAAGCGCTTCGTGGCTCAGAGAATCGAGGTTTGGGGAAGCAGGTGGAAAAAACGCTAGTTCTGTTTTTCTGTTCTGTGAAGTTTTTTGGTAACCTTGGAGGTCTAGAAAACGGTTCAATAAACTGTTGTGGGGCTCAACCTTTCAAGAAGTGTTTTCTTTGTAAGGCTAGCTGGACATGCAATTCGGCACCAGTGTGAAACGGTGCCCTGATGGAGCCAAAGCGAGAGTGTCGCTCGCGAAAGCCTTTTCATCGCAGAAAAACAAGCATAAATGAGCTGCCAGAATCCTAAAAGATGTCAAACACATGATTCCCCATCTCTGGGCTTCAGACTGGGGAAGCCTTCCCAAAATCCCATAAACTTACAACCCAGGTCCGCACTGATGATCCACTCATAGGCTGTCCATCAACCCACTCGGGACGGTGACGATAAAGAAGCCAAGGTTCCACCACCGTTTTTCGTTTCCTTGGTCCCACCACAGGTGGTTCACCACTGCTTTCCTTTGGTCAATTCTGGACTAGCAGCATCGTCCTGCATATCGCTTGAGCCCTTTTCCCCGTAACAGCTGGCTAAATTTGATCATTATTTTTGCAGTCCACTCTTCGTTTCTCCATAGACCCAACAAGAAAATGAAGGAACATGGAAAATTAAAAAAGAAACAGGGAAGAGTATTGATTCGTTGCTTAAGTTCCTTCAGAGAATCGTTGCTTTTGTTTTTGAATGTTTCTCAACACCGGTCCCCAACACCGCGAGGTAGAGGAGTGCCTGTGCGACCTCCGGCGGCGTGTGGCAGCTTGCCGACACAACCGCGTTCGATCAGGTTGGAGGCCACAAGGCACCCAAGCCTTCGCAAGTGCATTGGTGTGTGCGTGTGTGCCACCCTCCGTTTCCAGGAGTTCAAGATTTGTTTGCAGGGGCGTGTGGCCCTCTTGTCCTACCACACGCAATGAAGCTGTGGACAAGAAGGGGATGCAGAGCCTGATCAGCTCTGTGTACCTGCAAAACAACTGTTGTTCACGCTGTCTACTTTCTTGGTGTGTTTCCATGGTCGTTCTCATGATAGATCCCAAAACAGGTTTCCCTCGCTACGTATTCAGCAACTAGAGTCCGCAGTCATGCAAACCTTTTTGTTAAACACCTTCACTTCCACTGACCCAGCCGCCTTGCCGTTTGCGTGCATTTTTCGCGGGAATTGAGCTAACTGCAAACCCATTGTCAAACTGTGTGCCGCTCTGTCGTCCCACTGGGTGCAGAGTGTGATCCTCTCGCAAGAGAGGCGCCATCGTGAATCACATATTGACTCAGCGTTTTCCGCACACGTTGGATTATCACTTTTGGATTGAATGCTTCACCCCATGAATCTCCTGCTACCACACTGCCGAGTTTACGGAGATTTGATACTGCCGGGTTTACGGAGTCTTTTCGTTTTGGAGCTTTCGCGGTTCCCTCTACCACCCCTCCAATTAGGTTAACAGAGGGAAATGGTACTCGACACACTTGTGTGTCAGTGACTTTCTCTCTGTTGTCCCTGTTCTAGTCTACTCTACCCAGGCGGTTCAAGACTAAAGTCCCGCTCCCTAACTATTGCACCCAATTAGTTTCCGCTAAGTAATCGGTAACTCTACAGTGCTAAGTATTCAGACACACACATGGACATACACCCCCTCCCTGCCCACTGTTTTCTGTCTTTCTTACGTTTTTCGTCGTTTCTTTGCGTTTCTTTCAGGAGGCTCGTTTCCCTGCCCCAGTCAAGGGCTAAGTAGTCACCTTTTGCTACCCCTATCTTTCTCTCCTGCCCTTGTAGCGCTGCTCTTTCTGTTTTTCTTTCTCTCGTTTCTAAGGCTTCTTAGGTGTCTATTTCGGGCTCTGTGTGAAAGCGCCGCGAAGCGGCCGGGTGTGCGTGTGTGCCACCCTCCGTTTCCAGGAGTTCAAGATTTGTTTGCAGGGGCGTGTGGCCCTCTTGTCCTACCACACGCAATGAAGCTGTGGACAAGAAGGGGATGCAGAGCCTGATCAGCTCTGTGTACCTGCAAAACAACTGTTGTTCACGCTGTCTACTTTCTTGGTGTGTTTCCATGGTCGTTCTCATGATAGATCCCAAAACAGGTTTCCCTCGCTACGTATTCAGCAACTAGAGTCTGCAGTCACAAACCTTTTTGTTAATCACCTTCACTTCCACTGACCCAGCTGCCTTGCCGTTTGCGTCCATTTTTCGCGGGAATTGAGTTAACTGCAAACCCATTGTCAAAGTGTGTCGTTTTGTTCCAAAAAAACATCATTGGCTAGGGGGTCCCCATGCTAATGCACGCCCATATGTCTTAGGTGGTGTTCAAAATCTCTTGCCCAGCGACCATACCTGAGTGCCTATCACGCACCGAGCTATTTCCACTGTTTCCAGATCCAACCCGCTCACATCTTGCAGTGGCGGCTGAGGCTGAAAGAGGCTCGAGGCTGTTGGTCCAGCAAAAGGCACCAGAAGAGGTGCTTGGAGCTGTGTACTCAAGTCCCCGAGGAACGAGTCGTTGTTGTTGCAGTTTGTTTCATAGTCAAAGAGAGAACGTGAAAAAATATAAAAACGATATCACCAAGACTCGCAAAATATCACCAAGAAGGTGCTTCAACAAGTCCCGCTTGAATGCGCCCTCATACTGCAGCCCCCAATATTGAGTGTGCTTTGGCAACAGCAACACTTATGTACCAAAGCTCGTGGGCTGAATAAAGATTTGCAGACCCAGAGTCACAGTTGAGCAAAGGTCCGTCTTCAGAAAATCACCTTTCAGAATTCAAGAAGCGCCCAACATGGGGCCTGAAGGAGAAAACGACCTCGAAATCACATGAGTTTTCACCGCAGGTGCTGCCAGCATTGGTCTCGGAGGGCTCAACTGTACTGGTCACGGCGCAAGTCTGTTCGGAGGACATCGCTGGGGCGGCGCAATAGGGAAAAGTAGAGGAAAATGAGCTTCTAGGTTGGAGGCCATCGCTCTTAGGTTGGAGGCCATAGCACGTAGAAACAAGGGCGACACGGGGCGACAGAGGGCAGGGCAGTGTGGACTGCGAAGAACCACACCATGACCGACCACGTGTTGCAGATGTCGGGAGCTAGGAGGAACCATGTTCGCTACTAGGAGCCCCTGGCATCGCTACTAAGAGCAAGGACGCTACTAGGGGCTCCTGAAGGGACCCCGACAAAGGATCACAAACGGCCATTGACCCACCATTCATGGGAGAATAGGGTCTGACAAGTCGTAAGGAGAACTGCCTAAACCCCTATGTTCGAATATGCTCATTTGTGCAAAGAAGGAGCGGTAGATTATGGCACCACTCGCATACTTCAGCACTTCTGTTTTAAACCATGGTGACTTGGTCCATGTCTGACCCAGATGGATCCCTCTCAAAAGGCTGGTGCGCCTAACAGGAAATCCAATAGGTCCTCTTCGGTCCGAGGCCAGGTGAACGGCGAGACCACGCGTTGTTTAAGTCGGGGCGGTTCCCAATCGAAGGAACAACGAGGGAGGACGACGATGCCTTGCTAGTTTAACGTTGGCGGGCTTGGGATTGCCCACTGCGCAAGCCTAGCTTGGAGGAGCGACAGGCACTTCCAACACTGACCAACCAAGTACGGATCATGATCGGGCGCGCAGCGCAGCACATGTGTTAACGCACGCGTCACTCCGGTCGGGCTGGGGCCCACTTGACTAGTGGCAGCTTGTGGAGTGGGTGGAAATGATCTTATTGGGCATGTGCGCGGCTGTGATTCCAGCAGCCTTTCCCAATGGCCACATTGCTCGTGGGCTGAGCATGGATGACTAGGAGCGCAGCGCCTTGTCGTATTGGGGTGATAAACAGCCCGGTGCGCACATCATGTGAGGACTTGTGAGAAGTTGTTGTTGTAGCTGGAGGTTCCTTTCCAAGACCTAAGAAGCCCCTTTGTAACTGCCAGCCTGGGCTCACCAACAGGCCCCAAATGAATGTGCACACTCAACTGGCCAAGCTCTACCGCACATGCAGCTACACTTCCTTGAAGTTATGACATACCCCACCTGCCATCCACAGCACCATGCTGCCACAGCCTTTCCCCACCTGTTCACGGGCTCTAGGAGCGTGCGGTGGAGCGGCGGGTCCGGAAAGCCTTGGAGGCCAAGGGAGCTGCCTTGGAGGTTGTCCCTGCAGCAGGCGCACAGCCACGAGTGCGAAGTTGGATTTCAGATCAAAACTGTGACCCAGACCTCTACGGACCTCTGCGGGACAAGGCCCTGGACAAGGCCCTGGACAAGGCTTCGACAAAGCAAGACGGAAGCGCGACTCGCCAAGTTTCCCCAATGCAACCCACTTCTTGAAAGATCCGTACAGCAGTAAACTGTTTGGAAAATAATTCCGTTCAATCGGCATGTAGCTTCAAGACACCTCACAGGCAACAAAATCACACGGAATGAGACGGTGAGAATCTGAGACGTTTGGGAAAAGAAAAAGCAAACGAATCGACCTCCAAAACGCTAACCACTGGGGTGCAAAAGTGTTAGCGGTTACTGGATACTTCCAGGACTCCCACCCTGGACGTTTTGGCGCAAGGCATCACAGACCTCGTGGGCCCGGAAGAATTGCAACGCGCAGGGGTGCCGAGCGGCGAAGAGTTCCCGGTGATCTTCCAGCGGTTCTTTTTGCCGTTGAGCAACTCAGCTCAAGGGTGAAACCGGTGGAAAGGGGAGTGGCTCTTCGTGGGGGGCGTATTGTTAGGGTGCTGTTGGCTTATGAGTTTACAGGACTCATCCGACAGGTCAAACCCAGTTTTCAGAAAGACGTATTCTTGTTTTTTGCAATCACGTCATGTAGAAAACGATGCAAACGGTGGACCACCCAGGTCCAGCAATGGATTCAGAGGATGGGAAAGTTTTGTTTTGTGCAGTGTGGGCCCAATGAAGCAAAGGAGATTGTGTTTGTTTCTTTTTCTCCAACCACCGAACGACAAGCATCATGACCAGTGCGGCACTTCCCTTGTCTTAGGACCTTTCCTCTTGGAGATTTGCCAAAAGGGCCTCTCCGACGCTCCGGTGAACCTGCCAAGCGCGAGCGGTGCGGAGTTGGAGGACGAGGAGCTACGGCTTACGGATGCGGTGCCAGGCACAGACATCCGAGGCCGGGGGAAGGGTGGGACAGAGGTGGATTGGGACATCAGAAGATTGAAGTGAATTTCAATGCTAAACACCCTAAAAATTCTATTTGGGATAGTAGCTCATTTGCTACTAGGAACGCGAAGCTACTAGGGTGGAGGCCATAACTACTAGTAACAAGAAGCTACTAGTAACATTGCTACTACAAATGTAGGCCCAATCTGTGCAAAAGCTTCCCAATCGTAGGGAGATCAAGTACTTTCCGCTGCTGTTCCGCTTTGACTGAGTTTGCCAGGTGGAGAGACTGCGGGCTTGGAGCGCATGACTGTCTGGCTGAACAGCGGCTTCCGGAGTTACAAAGATACCTTCCGGAGCCTTCAAGGCAAGGAGCAAGGATGCTATTAGGGTGGAGGTTATCGCTACTAGTAGGTTGGAGGCCATTGCTACTAGGAACAAGAAGCTACTAGGAACAAAGGGCATCGCTACTAGGAGCAAGAACGTCTGAAAGAGGGAAAGTAAAACCGTAGCTGGGCCTTTTACTTACCATACAGGCTACATACGATGACTTGGGGCAGTGAGACGCTGATGTTTTCATCAGGGCTCCATGACATGTTTAACTTTGCTCTATTTCATAAATATGTGGCTCCATGCAGGGCATTTGTTGTTGCAGGCATCAGAGCTTCGGGGTCACCTCGTTTGAAGATGTCTAGTGATTTTTATGTCTTTGGGAAGCAGAAAAGACAAGAAGGTTTTGATTGGCAAACATCCCACTGATCAGCGCCCGAATCCTGTGCGAACACCTGTTTGGGGGAGGGGATAGTCAGCCAGTCTCGCATGGCAACGATCTGTCACCAAGCATCTTGGGAGCGCTTGCGGCCTAAAACTCTGCCAGAGGCCGAGGCCACTTTACTCACCTCCAAATAAACGCACGCGGCGCGGCTTTGTGGGTGGCCTTGCCTCATCCTCTCGATGGAAGAGCTTGCTTGCACCATCCTTTGAACCCCTGAGCAGCTCACCACCATGTCACGCCGGATTCATTGTCCAGTGGTGCTGCCAGTAGCAAATACCTACCAGCTTCCCAAGAGAGGGTCTTTGGATCCCAACAGGATTTTCCCGGCACATCCTAGTCAAGACTACACTCGACCATGTCAATGAAGATTCGCGGAAAAAACACCAGCCACTTTGCTGTTCAGCCAACAAACCGATAGTTGCCAACCGAAAGAAATGAAGAATTCTGTACCGTCCTTGCTACTAGTAGCGATGCCCTTGTTACTACTAGCTTCTTCTTACTAGTAACGTAGCGATGCACTTACAGTGGCTACTAGTAGCGTTCTTGCTACTAGTAGTGAATAATCCGGTTGAAATTCATCGCCATTTGCAGGTGACTACTCATCGAGGCTGGGAGCCCACTTGGCCTATGGCTGTATCTCACCTCGGCGCCTGGTGAAGGAGGCGGAGAAGTTCGGAGCTGGATCAGAACTGGGCGGAGTTTGGGCCGCAGCCTCCAGGAATTCCCAATCTGCCAGGATCATAATTACAGAAGAGCTCATCCCCTTGAAATATTGAAATATGTTGTGGGGTTGTTGGAGGAGATTTGCTAAAACCTTCCAACTCATTTCGAAGCTCACAATTCCCTGGGTGAATTGGGGTGGACCTCTGATCCCAAATTGAGTTTTCAATGTTGAGAAGTTGAGGAGTTTTCATCATCTTGGTATTCAAGGAAGGGTGACAATTCTTGGGGAGTACAAGGTGCACTGGAAACTATTTCGTAAAGGATCTTCGTGGACCAAAGCCCTCCTTGCTGGAACATGCGTGCGTACTGATTTATAATACTGCGGAGCTGTCGACTAGTTTGTGTAAAGCTGATAAATGGCTGTTGACTGTAAATTGGAATTGTTTTATGATACCCCAATTGCCCAATTTTGTTGTGAAAGCTAAACCTCAAGTTTGAAGAGTGGTCTTGTGATGAAAGGTTGCACCAGTCATTCGTTGACTTTTTTGGGGTGCACCGACCCACAAACAGTTGACAGGTAAAGCTATGGTAAAGCTCCTACAATCACGGGCGAAACGGAAAGTGCACTTGCTCACTCATGAAAATAGACCTGCGCTATTTGCTAACTGCGAAATTGGCGAGCATGAGCACTTTGGAAAGGGTGAAGCGCACACCCAAGATGAGCGAGGTGAACGTCACCGCCACACGACGAATGACTGACTAGCATTTGGTGGCCGGAAATGATTTCTCAGCTCTCTTTGGCCCCTCCAAAAATCCCCTTATCCATCACCACCAAGCAGTTCCTCCACTCCATCCCCTCCACATTTGCTGCCCGCCTATGTTGCGAATAGGCACTCTCACACGGCTCGGGCCAATCCTCCGTCCATGCCGCTGGGCGAGATCCGTCCATGTCGCTCACAAAGTGGTCGCCAAAATCCAGGTTGAGGTTTGAAGCAAGTGACACGGGTATTAAAAAAGGGTGGCCAACGCAGACTCAACGCAGACTCAACGAAAACACGATGCCTTCAATGCCTTCAGTTCTTTGGTTCAACTTTCGACTTAGATGTGGCTTGGACGGGTGTGATTGGCACCGGATTCGAGCAATTCAGTTCTGAAGGGCTGTTGGGGGTGAACTGGGTGAACCGCTGGTGAACTGCTGGGTTTGGATCCTTCTTTCTGCTCAGAATGTCCAAAGTTCAACACGGGCATTGGGGATGGCAAGCTGTTTCTGGGGGACAAGTGAAACCCGCAGTGTTGGTCTCACGTGTCAAACCCCACACTCCAGTCCACTCGCGAAATCTGACTGATTTTCTCCCAGACTGGGTCCCCACCATCTCCGAACGAAAAGGGTTCGTGCTCTGACCGCGCGGTGACTGGCCTGAGGTGGAGCATTTCGTCTATGAGATGTGCTGGCGAGACTTCTTCCGGCACACGGCCGCAGCTCGGCGACGAAAAGTTGCAGCTTTAGAGATGCGGAGAGGTTTGAACACGTTTGGTGAGGAATTTAGAGATTCAGCTGTATGGGGACATGGAACGAATGGGAGGGCATAGTTTTTTGAGATACCATATGATATCCCAGCCCATAGCCCCAACCATCCCAGTCCATCCTCTCCGACCAAGGCACGCTGGGGCACTGGGCTCTTCCATGTGGCAGGCCCTGCCGAGTGCGGTGCTCACGGAATGAGCAGTGAGAGCAGCTGGAAAAGGGACCTTGGTGCTGAGAGGACCCAGTCGATGGCGGAGGGGTCGATACGGCGTTTGGGAACTCCTGATCTCTCCCGTCCTCTCCATATGGTAATGGCCTCCAACCTAGTAGCGTCCTTGCTCCTAGTAGCGATGCCCTTTGCTCCTAGTAGCAAAAGGAACCTAATAGCAATGGCCTCCAACCCAATAGCAGATATTCTTTCCCCATATGACCTATTAGAGATGGGCTTGACAAAGGGCAGCCTTGGAGCTCTTCTCGCTGGAAGTGGTTCAAAAGTTGCCCAAAAGGATGGTAGGTGAATCAGTTTCGCAAGAATAGTTTGTTGAAGTCTTTTGATTGTAAGGAGTAAACTCCTGTGTTGATCTACACACACATCATGTTTTTTGATGGAGTTGTTTGGTAGACAAACACACGTCGTGCTTTGGGTGGGACTTGACATCCTTGACAAGTGCCAGTTGAATTGGGTAGGATGCAAGTCCAGCCGGAAACTCCCACGCACGTGGAAAGAATTTCTGCTGAGAAGTACCAAGTTCTAGGTTGGTGCGGCGTCAGAATTTTGTTCGGAAAGTCTGATCTGTTTGGTTCTAGGTTGCGGGGCCAACTTTCTATCAGAACTCATCAGAACTCTTTTGTTAGAAAGTCGAGGGCGCATTTGCAGAAGGCGAAAACTGGGAATTGGTGATCGGTTCTTGGTGCTGGAAACGCCTGGTACCTGATCAGATCCACTTCCGCAGAAGTTCTTACGAATTGGCTCGCTTTGGAGACTTGACCGGTCACTTTTTGAAGATGCGTAAGAAATGCCTGTGTGGCTTCAGGCTCGGTTTCTATCAGGTTCTGACTTCGCTTTTTGCTCTCTTCGCTACTTGCCGCCGGATGACTTGCAATAGTCTCCAAGCCCCTGCAAGTGGTCCATGGTTGATTTGCTTGTTCGAGGTTGCCATCCATTTGATTCTATAACGCACTAAAGAAATGTGGCCGCTCACCAAGCCTCCATGCCTTTTTGGCCAGTGCTCATTCGACAAGCCCACCTTCCAGGAGATGGAAGGAAGGCTCGACCGGTGTGCCATTGGTGGACGCAGCGATGCGAGAGTTGAACGAGACAGGCTACATAGGGAACCTGGCAAGGCACAGTGCAAGCTCGCTGTGGCGCGGTGCAGGGGTGTTTTTCCCGAGAGCGCCTGCGAAGGGTTCTTCGTAAAAAAACATCTGCAGAACTACACCTCATCTACATCTTCACATCCTCACCTCTGCACAATCACATTTTCACCTATATATCTGCTCATCTTCACATCAGCACATCTACATCTCAGCTCATCTTCATATCTGCACATCTAGATCTCTCCCATCTTCACATCCTCACATCTACATCTCACATCTTCACCTCTCGCTCTTCTTAACTTTCTCTCTTCATCTTCACATCCTCACATCTCTCTTCATCTTCTTAACTTTCTCTCTTAAGGCCGGGGGCAGCGCCGCCGGAGCGCCACGAAACGCGACCCTTTGCGAAGATCGTGCGTGTCGAGTGCGCGAAATGCAGGTGAGAGTGCGTTTTGGATTGGTCGCGCTCCACTTTTGGAGGAAGTCTCGTACGAAACGTTCGTTTTGGAGACTTTCACTTTTGGAGGAAGTCTCGTACGAAACGCTGGTTGTGGAGACTTAACTTGGCGCTTCACTTTTGGAGGAAGTCTCGTACGAAGCGCTCGTTTTGGAGACTTGGCGCTTCACTTTTGGAGGA